CAGATCTTCCATTCCAATTCAAGAGGATTCAGTTCCCAGTTCGATTGGCATTTGCGATGACAATCAATAAATCGCAAGGCCATCGTTGGATGTCTGCGGGATTAATCTGGAATATCAATTTTTTTCACCTGGGCAGTTATACGTAGCCTGTTCGCGTGTGGGAAAGCCGTCATCATTATTTATTTTTGCACCGGATAACAAAACAAAAAATATTGTTTATCACATCGCTCTTCACTGATTTCGAGTCAAATAAATTTTTATGAAATTTGAATTACCAGTGTTTTATTATTACTCTGGGGTTATATGAAGTCGTGAAATTGGGGCGAGACAAAGTTCGCCGGGTGCTCTAGATCGTGTAGCGTATCATCTTTGTGAACAAAGATTTCAAAAAGGCTTATACAATTTTTATATTCGGAGTCTTTTCCGCTAAATGTTGGAAGAGCGACGCTCGGCAGGCGACATTGAGGCGGGCCTGCGGAGCTGATTTTTCGACAGTATTTCGTTTAGCCTCATTTAAAATGGAAATAAGTAATGATTTTGTTTAAAGTGCACTCTCTTCCAACTCATCGCGAAAGACATCTTTTGCATCTCTCACTTCTATTTGGTTTTGAAGAAGTAAAGCATTTTCAATGTGCGTATAAAGGATTTCCAAACGTCACTCTAGCTCAACTGGATTAACAGACAATTTACTGTCATTTAAGATACGATACGTTCGGCCTATACTTTTCATGCAAATATCTCGTTTGTGTTTAAGCTCTTCGATATCCTTGGTTGCCATTGCGTTTTCTTTTTAAATTTATTTATTTTTGTAATCGAAGTGGTATCTATATATATAAAAATGGTTCAAAAAATGTGCGCCATCGCAAAACAAGAGAACGGCTGGGCCGATTTGGCTCAAATTTTTTTTCAGTTCTTTGTAATTGCCAGATTCTTCTGGTTAATACATAAGAAAATATTGGGAAAACCTGCCGGAAAAGTAGCTATCGGCTCAAGAGATGTATTCATTGTTGTACATAAAACTGTTAAAACAGCAGTCTTTGGAAATAATGCCTTCATTGTTGTACATAAAACTGTAAAAAATCGAGTTAGCGAATCATTGCCAAAGTTTTAATTGGAAATAATGCCTGCTTTTAGATCAAGACTTGGAAGGCGTTCACGCAATGCGATACATTCTCAGAATGTCCGTAATAATCGAACGCAAGAGGTAAGTGCAGAAATAAATGGATCGGCACGTGCCCGAATTGAACAGCTTCGCGCTGCACAAAGACCAAGCCCGACAAAATGTGAGTAGAAGAAGACCAGCCGCAAATAAAAAATTGAATCGCGCTGCATTCGCATACAATTCCGAAACACCCTACAAAGATCATAGCTGCGTTGTTATTGGTTCATTGTCTGTCGTATGTCAGCATTGCAATGCACTGAAGTTTCGATTGGAAACCCCCGGCTTATGCAGTGCAGGTGGCAAAATTAAATTGCCCGTTTTGGCTCATCTACCAGAGCCATTGTATTCGCTACTATATGGAAATTCAGCCCAATCAAACAGTTTCCTAAAGCTTGCACAAAAATATAACGGTTGCTTTCAAATGACGTCATTTGGAGCGGAGGTTGTTCATCAACCAGGCTACAATCCGAGTTATAAGGTAATGGCGTCTCTTTATTATCTCATTTTTTTCAAAATTGCATCCCAACATTCAGATTCAAGGACAAATTCACCACCGAGCAGGCGCTTTGTTACCGCCACCAAACAAATATCATAAATTCCTTCAGATCTACTTCATTGGTGATTCGGAAGATGAACTAAATCAGCGTTGTGCACCAGTACTGTGTTGACATGTACGTAAAAGTAGAAACGGAGCGTCTCAATTTCATTCGTTTCAATCAGTCGAATTTGTGCTCAGACGAGTACATCCACTTGCGTGACGCCATCGCTATGGAAGGACACGCGGCCAACATCGGTTGTTTGACCATTCTTCCAGCCCGCGCCATATGCATGAGTAGGCTCAAGATGCGATGACGTATGTCCGTAATTACGGACGCCCGGATTTATTCATCACGTTCACATGCAAACGAAATGGCCCGAAATTACGAATCTGTTGCTTCCAGGACAAACATCTAGCGATCGACCTGACATCACTGCACGAGTATTCAAGCAAAAGATCACAGTACTTATGAATTACATCGTTAAGCAGAAGGTTTTTGGCGCAGTTCGTTGTTGGATGTACTCGGTTAAGTGGCAGAAGAGTGGCTTACCACATGCGCACATTCTGCTTTGGATGTTCGACAAGATCCGACCAAATCAAATTGATTCGATTATTTCAGCCGAAATACCATTGTGACAACGAGCATGATCCATGGCCCTTGCAGAGTCCACAACCCAGAATCAGTATGTATATATAACGGAAACTGATAAAACGATTTCCCCGTCCGTTGACGGCTGAAACAATCAGTGGACACGATGGATATCCATTGTATAGGCGTCGTCCTCCAGATGACAACGGCAAATGGATCGAAGTAATGGTGAAACAAACGTAACAGTAGTCGTGAATAACCGCTGGATCGTTCCATATTGCCCGCTTTTGTCGAAAACGTTCTCAACGCATTGCAATGTTGAGTACTGCAACTCTATCAAATCTATCAAATACGTTTGCAAATATGTGAACAAAGGGAGCGACATGGCGGTGTTTGGCATTGCTGATCCGAATGCAAACGATGAGGTGACGAAATTTCAACTTGGACGCTACGTTAGTTGTAACGAGGCCATTTGGCGGCTATTTTCATTTCCGATTCATGAACGTCACCCGACTGTCGTGCACTTATCTGTTCACTTGGAGAACGGCCAGCGTGTCTACTTTACGGACGCGAACGTAGCGCAAAGAGCAGTGACAACGTTGACAAATTTCTTTTCGACATGCGAAGGCGATCCGTTCGCAAGGACTTTACTCTATTCAGAGATGCCACGCTATTATACATGGAACGCTGCATCGAAGAAGTTTCAACGCCGGAAGAAAGGTTATGCTGTTGCTGGCTTCGCTGGTGTCTATTCGACTGATGCGCTCGGACGAATATACACAGTTCATCCACGCCAAGACGAATGCTTCTATCTTCGCTTGCTTTTGGTGAACATTAGAAGCCCTACATCCTACAGAAGAACGTGTACGATTCGATATTGAAGGTTGTTGACGATGAAACGGGAGGCTTATACTTTCTCGATGCTCCTGGTGGAACAGGCAAGACATTCGTCATTTCGTTGATTCTGGCAACGCTTCAATCAAGATCTCAAATTGCGTTGGCTGTTGCATCATCTGGCATTGCTGCTACATTGTTGGAAGGCGGTCGAACTGCACATGCCGCTTTGAAGCTACCCATGAATATTCTGACGGTTGACCAGCCAACGTGCACGATGAGCAAGAATTCGGCGACAGCGGAATTGATGCGAGAATGCAAAATAATCATTTGGGATAAATGCACGATGGCGCATAAACGAGCTTTGGAGGCAGTTGACCGAACGATGAAGGATTTACGAGGTGATTCTAAACTATTTGGTGGGGATTTAATATTGCTGTCCGGAGATTTTCGTCAAACGCTTCCCGTCATCCCGAAATCTACGGCTGCCGATGAAGTTAATGCATGCCTAAAATCGTCCCCTTTGTGGCGATATGTCAATAAGTTTATATTGTCCACGAATATGAGAGTCGCATTGCTGAATTCTCGAGACAAATGCTGACGCTGAAATTCCTGTTGATGTTTCGACTGGACTAATATCGTTCACAGCAAATTTTTGCGAGTTCACATCGTCGAAAGAGGAACTCATCACAAAAGTGTTTCCCGACATTGCACAAAATTATAAAAATCTTGATTGGATTAGTGAACGGGTAATACTATCAGCGAAGAATAAAGACGTAGATAGTTTGAATTTCGTTATTCAAAGTCAATTCGCTGGAGAACTGCATTCATACAAATCCGTTGACAGCGTGGCCGACGAGGATGAAGCGACCAACTATCCGACAGAATTTTTGAACTCACTGGATGTGCCAGGAACTCCGCCGCATAATTTGCAACTGAAAGTGGGATCAATTATTATAATGCTGCGGAATCTAAACCATCCGAGATTATGCAACGGTACTCGGTTGTCCGTTAAAAAACTGATGAACAACGTGATTCATGCGACGATTATTAAGGGCAAATTTAAAGGAGAGGAAGGTCTTATCCCACGAATTCCGATTATTCCAACAGATCTTCCATTCCAATTCAAGAGGATTCAGTTCCCAGTTCTATTGGCATTTGCGATGACAATCAATAAATCGCAAGGCCAATCGTTGGATGTCTGCGGGATTAATCTGGAATATCAATTTTTTTCACATGGGCAGTTATACGTAGCCTGTTCGCGTGTGGGAAAGCCGTCATCATTATTTATTTTTGCACCGGATAACAAAAGGGGCGCGACAAAGTTCGCCGGGTGCTCTAGTAAAGTATATTTATTCTTGATCAGGATCGCGTCCTGAGTTGATATAAGCATGTCCGTCTGAAAAAACTATGGAATTACGCTTTTATTTAAATTAAAATCGGACATCTCTGTTTTTCTATTTATCAAATAGTAATTATTTACTATATCAGAATTACGCTTTTAGTTATGTCAAAATCGGACAACAATATCAATTAGCAGCCATAGAAACGATTGCTTCATTGTTTTTAGTAATATAGGCATAAAAATCGAAATGTAGTCGATTTGTAATAACTGCAAGGGTATGTAAACTTCGATTTGCCAAAGTTTGCTTCCCTTCTTGTTATATAAGCTAAAACCGTTAAGGATATTTTTTAAATTCAAACAGCAAGGGAATATTTTTGTTATATAAATAAATACCGCATAACAATTTTGAAGGAGGGCATTTAATATTTGTTGGTAAGAAGTACCTGCAGTTTTTGGGTGCATTTTGAGGGTTTTATGTAAGTTTTTCCTTATAAAATTTTGTTAGTGTCCATTGAAGAAGAAAAATACTTACGATCCCAGCATTCGTGAGTTCAAAAAAAGAGGTTCCCAAACATTATAAGTAAAAGGATCCCGATATGTTGGTATTTCATTAGTGATTTCTGCAGCTCGGGATTGCCGTTTAGAAAATCTGTGTAGTATTTAAAAAAGTTAGACTATAATCTTTGCTTAAAATTGTACATTTTGATAAACTTACATCCACATGGCGCGAAGTTGTTCGCATGTTGGCTCCTGTGAATTTAATGAAAATGTTTTTGGCACAAAAACTTCCCCAACTGTCCTTACACCACCGGAATTTACGATATGTGATGATTCTTCAGTTTTCACTCCATTGTTGTTACTCAAATTTCTTTCCCGACTGCGAGTACCAATATAGTTTGCATTTGCAATCCTAATTGTTGCCAGTATGACCAATATATCAAGTCGTATATACTTAATCTGAAAAAATATAAAAAATAAATATTTTTTCCTTCAACATTTTTTAATTACAACATTCTCAAAGACCCTAAACCTACTTTAAAGGCGTTTATATGTTAGCGACAAAAGTCGTGGTGATCGGACATTCAACATCCAAAATATCAAAAACCAAATTTAGCTACGAAACATTTTCCCATTAGCCATTAATTAATTAATACTGTCTACAAAATTAATTTCGCTAAATTTATGGATATCTAGTTATATTTTTTAATTTACAAGTAAAATCAATAAAATCAAGAAAACGCGCCGTCAACCGCGGGTGACTTCGACGAATCTGTATCTTCTAATTTTGTATACCCTTGCAGAGGGTATTATAATTTTGGTCAAAAGTTTGTAACGCAGTGAAGGAGACATTTCCGACCCTATAAAGTATATATATTCTTGATCAGCATCACCAGGAGAGTCGATCTAGCCATGTCCGTCTGTCCGTCCGTCCGTTTCTACGCAAACCAGTCCCTCAGTAAAGCTATCTGCTTGAAACTTTCCCAAAAGTTGTCTTTCTATTGCAGGTCGGAACGAGCCGGATCGGTCCACTATATTATATAGCTGCCATATAACTGAACGATCGGAAATGCCATAACTTTGGTGTTTTTAAAGTTAGGAAGTTGGATTTTTTTTATGAGTTTTAAGAATGCATTCTACGAATAAATTTTGGAGAATATAATATACAGAATTATTTTATTTATTTTTATTTTGTCAAATTAAAACTAGTATACAATACTAAAATTAATGGAAAGAGAAAATGGCACTGGAAACTGAAGTCCTTCGGCCGGGTTATTAGAGTTTATTTATTATGTCTATATTCGGAGATGGGTTTTATTAACAAAATCTTTAATTCTTTTAATATTTGATTTGGAGGAGGATTTGAGTAGGGAAGATGGGAGGGTGACGGATCCAAAAATGGAAGTGCGTATGGGCTTTAGGGCCTGACAGCTGTCGAGAAGATGGTCGGTTGAAAAAGTCCTGTCTCCGCAGAAGCGGCAGGGAGGGCAAGCAGATCCTTGAAGTAGGTGTTCGTGCGTTTCCTGTGTATGTCCAATGCGAAGGCGGGTGTAAATCCTGCGATCGAGTTTGTTGAGGTCTTTTGGAAATATAGTTTTTTCGCAGGCTGTGTTTAGCGCTTTATATCTGTGGGTAAAACCTTCCAAATCAGCCATTATCTTTTGTTTGTTGGTGGTTTTAATTAGCTTGGAGATGTCTCTGGCATTGATGGGTGTGAACTGAACGGTTGGGGCTGTGCTCATAAATCGAGCAGCCGCGTCCGCTTGTTCGTTCCCAGGAATACCCTTGTGGCTGGGGACCCAAACGATGGTTATTTTGGATTTGCTCAGGGTAACGATGTTCCGTATTTGGCTTATTGTGGGATCTGTTTGCCAGGGATTTTCCAACGCTGAGATGGTGGAAAGGCTGTCGGTGCAGATGACGAATTTTCCTTTACCTTTTGTATACGCAGGCCTGAAGTACTGCGAAAGCCTCAATGGTAAATATCGAGTTGATGTTGGGAAGGGATCCTCCCGCGATGATGTTGTTATCCTTGTCGACGACTGCGAAGGTAGATGAAGATTCGGTTTTAGAACCATACGAGTAAAGCCAATTCCTTGGGCCCAGTTGGCTTCTGAGAAGACTAAATTGGGCTTGGAAAATTGAGCTTGGTGTGTCGTTTTTAGTATAGAAGTGAAGATCCTTTTTGATGTTTTCCGATACGTCTTTCCAGGGTGGAAGAGACGTAGTTATTTTTCTCTGCTTAGGGACTGATAGCCCAATGAAAGCTGCATGCTTGGCGCATCTATGAAGGGTTGAGGGAACCCTGGGAGTCCGTGTTTTCCTGAAGGAAGCTTTGAAATTCCTTACCAACGATTGATTTGGGCTTGTGAAAAGCCTGGGTATTAGATTGCTGGTGGCTTCGGTTAATCTGTCGGAAATGCTTAGTAGCTCAGCTTCGGCCAGAATGCACCGTACTGGCGATGTTGGAAATGCATTAATTGATCTACGAACTGAGGAGTTGTAGGGTGCTTGAATTTTCTTCAGGTGTGTTGCTGCACACCAACCATATATTGGGAGTCCGTATTCGATTTTGGAGAGAATTAGGGCACGGGTTATGTTTGTTAGGATGTTGGGATGGATATGCGAAAATTTGGAACTTAGAAATTTAATTATGTTAGCCCGGACTTCAAGTTGTTTTCTTAAAGTAATACAATGTTCCTTAAAGCTAAACCTAGAGTCAAACGTGATTCCAAGTATTTTTAAATCCATGACTGGTTCGATGGTCTTATTTCTAAGCTCCAAAGTTGGAAAACAACAGTGGATTTTGCGACAAATGTTAGGGGTGAGCCTTGTGGGATTCCGTTTGGCAGGTTGGCTGAACCAGAGGTTTTGTCGTTGACTCTGACTTTAAAGGTCCTCTTCGTCATAAAGGCTTTAACCAGGTTGTAAAGTCTTGGACCAATGCCCCAAAGCTGGAGTCTTGAGAGAACTGCATGTAGTCCCACGCGATCGAAAGCCTTTTCGAAATCCGTCGCCATGATGGAGACGTGATTTTTGGTTGAAATGGCATTCGACACGAAATGTTGAATTTTGAGTAGAGCGTCCATAGTGCTGTGGTTCCTTTTGAATGCAACTTGGTTTCCGCTGATCAGTTTGTGGCGGTTAGTAAACCACATGAGTCGGAGGGCAATCATTTTTTCAATTATTTTACTTAGGCAGGATATTAGGGAAATTGGGCGATAGCCATTAATTTCTGAAGATTTTTTATTGGGCTTTGGGATGGGAATAACGATGGAAGATCGCCAGGTATGGGGGTAATTGCCAGTGGATAACATGCAGTTATATATGTCAAGTAGTCTTTGCTTAAGGCATGGAGGAATCTGTTTTAAGATGGGATAGGAAATTCTATCAGCGCCAGGACATTTGCCCTTAGCTGTTTGGAGAGCTGCCTCGATTTCATGCAGTCTAAATGGAGTGTCCAGACTTAGTGCTGTAGGAGATATTTGGGTAGGGTTGTATGTGGAGGACAGATATGATTCTTTGAGACCTATGTAAACGTTGCTAAAATTTTCATCAGCTCCGTATTTGGCCCAGACTTCCCTGAATTCTTCTGATATGCAACTGGAGTCAGTTAACAAAGCGTTTGTGGTTTTAATGCATTTTATGGGTATTTTAGGAGAGCCAGCCAGAAGATTAATGTCTGACCAAATCTTCTTGGTGGTGGAAAGGGGAGAAATACGTGAGGTGAAGTTTTCGAGGGATTTTCGTTTTTCAAAAAGAACATTCTTTTTGAAAATGGCATTGGCTCTTTTGTAATTTATGAGGTTGGTGGATGACATTTGGGAATTAAACGTATGAAAAAGCTTTTGCTTTTTATCCCTGAGCTGTTGAAGCTCCGGGCTCCACCATGGAATTTTCGCTTTATGGGGAATCCGTTTTGTTTGGGGGATGGAGGAGTTTGCTGCTGTTCTAATGAATTTCGAGAGTAGAGCGACCTGATGGTTTAGGCATCCGGCGGTCCACTTGGTCTCGAGTTCAATGCAGGTTTTGCCGAAAGTATTCCAGTCAGCGAGATCGGTTTTATATTTTGGGATGGGTTGGGTTATGTCTGGGGAGAATGGAAAAGATAAGGAAATAAATATGGGGAAATGATCGCTACCATGTAATTGATCACAAATGCACCAACTGCTACGGTGAGCGAGTATTGGTGAGATTAGTGAAATATCTATGTTGGTTATGGTGTTGTGGGTAGAGAGATGGGTTCCAGATCCGTCGTTTAGGACAACTAGGTTAAATGTTGATATAACTCGCTCAACTTTTTTCCCGCGGGAATTAGCGTGAGGCGAACCCCACATAGTGCTCCAGGAGTTAAAGTCTCCTATTAATAGTATAGGACCGGATATTTGATTTAGAGCATGAGAAATGTCGGAGCTTGAAAAGCCTTGACATGGTGGAATGTACATATTTATGATAAAAACGGGATTAGTGAGTTCAAGTTTAATACCAGTGCAGAGAAGATTACAATTTATCAATATTTGGGAGGGTGGAATTTGCTGTTTTATGAGTATAGCTACGCCTTGTTTTGCAGAAGTATTATTGGGGAAATTCCAAAAATACCCTTTAAAACTCGGCGGGCATCTAAAGTTTTTAAAGTTATGTGGTAAGTGGGTTTCCTGAAGGCATAACACGTCAGGAGAGCGTTCGGCTATAAGTAATTTTAATTCGTGATAATTATTGAAAATTCCTTTTATGTTCCATTGTAAGATTTTAATGACCATGGTTAAAGAGAATCAGGGGAAGCTGACGCGGGGTCAACTTCTGAGTCAGATGAGTTTTTACTAGAGTTACTATTTGATTTCATTTCGTTTAAGAGTTCATCTGCTTCCAATCTAAGAGAGCGACTGTGTTTCAAGCGCTCTTTATAATCAGAATACATTAAAGGGAGTGATAGCTGTGAGTGTTCACTATTTATGCTGTAGGTGGGTGAGAGAGAATTGCTTGTGCGATTGTGATTTTCGAGGTCTTCAGTTGTTTTTATGTTGGGGCTTTTTAGTACGATTTTGTTAGATGTTGAGGGTCTTGGAGAGGTAATCACCGAATGGTTATTAGATTTACTTGTGGAAGGCGAAATTGAGAGAGATTGGGATTGAGGGTCTGGGTTGGCAGACTCTTTAGAATAATTGTCGTTGTTTTCATTAATAGTAATCTCTTTTTGAGTATTACTGTTTGTATTGGGTGTAGAGTTTGAGTTTGACACAGCATGTGCATAATTAGGTGAGAGATTGGTTGTTATGGGAGATTGTTTTTTGAGAAACAGTCTAGCTTCTCTTATACTGCATTTTCGTGTAGTTTTAATTCTGATGAGTTCTTTTTGTTGTATATATCTTGGGCAAGATGGGGAGGAGGAAGGGTGGTCGCCTAAGCAATTTGCGCACTGCGTTCGTGTACAAGGTTCAGGGCTGTGAGGGGGGAGATTACACCTTTCGCACGTGGCGGAATTTTTGCAAAATTTGGTTGGATGACCAATAAATTGGCACCCCTTGCACCTCATAGGATTGGGAATGTACTCCCTTACCTTGACTGTGTGCCAGGAAACGTCAAGTTTGCTTGGTAGGTTGTATTGGTCGAAGGTTACGAGTATAACACCAGAAGGTTTTGGTTTGCCGTCTATTTTCCTAGAGAATTTATATATGGAATGCACATTTTGGTCAGCCAGTTCTTTCACAATTTCGTCATCGGGAACGTTTATAAGGAAGGGAGCATATATAGTGCCCTTGACAAAGTTAAGGGATTGATGAAGTTTGCAATCAATTTCGCATATACCTGCGAGACTTTTAGATTTCAGGAATTTTTCTGCAACATTTTTGGTTTTCACCAGAATTAGGAGGTTTCCATCGCGAAGGGTAGAAATAGATAATATTTCTTTGCTTATAATATTCAACGCACGGTAAACTGCGAAGCAGGAATATTCCGAAATGGTTTTCTTGGGGACTTTTGATGAAATAATGACGAATTTAGGGTTTTCTTTTGTTGTTTCCGGAAGTTCTGGGAACTCTTCTTGAATTTTACTAAAGGGTCTTTTCTTTTTTTTCTTGGGGCTTTCGCTAAGCGATGCAAAGCGATTGTCCCCTAATCTGGGTGGGCCTGGGCCCATGGTTACAAGAGCTTGGACCTTTGATTAATAATCAGCGGAACTTGCACGTGAAAAAAATAAATAACTGTTTATAAGCGAAGAATGGGTGTGGATCAAAACCCCGAAAAAATAGAGATAAGGCACGGGATTAGGCACGGACGTCTGCGCTCGATGAGAGTTAGTCGGTGACTGAAACACAAAATATTCTGCAAGGGTATATCAACTTCGGCTCCGCCCGAAGTTAGCTTTCCTTTCTTGTTGAAAATATGATATTATAAAACATCAATCAAAAACTTTTACCTTTTAAGGGGACCCCCCATTCTCTGTTTCAAAAAATCGATTTTTTTTATTTAATTCAAACCTATAACTATTCAAGAATGTTCCTTTAAAATTTAAAGTAATTATTTCAAAAAAAAAAAAAAAAACTTTTGAAGATATAGCCGATTTATGGTGGAAGCGTCAGGCGACTGCGAGAGCTTCTCAAAACTTTAAACGCGTTTTTTCGAAACAGTATTTTTACGACTGGCGCATGAGGTTACTCAAAAACTATTAATCCAATCGGTTGGAATTTGTTATGGGTTTTATGTTTGGTCAATCAATCCGACCTACCATATTTCGTAATGATCGGCCGACTATATCCTATAGCTGCCATATAACTGAACGATCGGAAATGCCATAACTGTAAAGTTGGAATTTGTTATGGGTTTTAAGTTTGGTCAATCAATCTAACCTACCAAATTTCATGATCTATTCATTCAATTTCATACCATATCCTATAGCTGGCATATAACTGAAGGATTGGAAATACAATAACTTACAGAATATTCTGCAGAGTATATCAACTTCGGCTCCGCTCTAAGTTAGTTTTCCTCTTTTGTTTGAACAAATTCAGCACCAAAATTGACTACTTTTACGAAATATTTTTATATTTTTAAGAAAACTTGTCCTTATTACACCCTTGCAGAGCGTATTGTAATTTTGGTCAAAAGTGAGCAACGCAGTGATGGAAACATCTCCGACCCTATAAAGTATATATATTCTTGATCAGGATCGCGTCCTGAGTTGATATAAGCATGTCCGTCTGTCTGTCCGTCTGTCTGTCCGTCTGTCTGTCCGTCTGTCTGTCTATTTCTACGTGAACTTGTCTCTCAGTTTTAAAGATATGGAATTCAAACTTTGCACACACCCTTCGTTCCTATGCACGCAGTATATAAGTCGGAACGGCCGGGGGATCGGCCGACTATATCCTATAGTCGCCATATAACTGATTGATCGGAAAAGCCATAACTTTGGTGTTTGTAAAGTTAGGAAGTTGGAATTTTCTATGGGTTTTATTTTTGTCCAATCAATCCGACCTACCAAATTTCATAAGGATCGGCTTACTATATCCTATATAATTAATTTGATCGTTATTGCCCGTTACTGTCACTCCCTTGCACCCTTCGTTCCCTTGCACGCAGTTTATAAATCGGAACGGCCGGGATCGGCTGACTATATCCTATAGCTGCCTGTTCGGAGCAGCCCGCCAGCACCTAGTCTAGTGCGCATAGGTGTATGGCTGAGCCTGCAGCGCTCTTGCGCTCTCCTCTTTATTATTTGCCTTATCTCGCTAAGCTGTCGCGCTACCTATTCAGCGACTACATTGTAAAACCCGAATTAAAATATGAAGCCAGGCTTTCGGTTGTTGCAGTGCAGATTCGACTGGCAGAATAAACACGACACGTACATAAACTGATTAAATTAAAAAGCGTTATTATTACATAACATAAGGGTGGCATTTTTGTTGTCTTCCCCCAAACACTGCCATATAACTGAACGATCGGAAATGCCATAACTTTGGTGTTTTTAAAGTTAGGAAATTGCGATTTTTTATGAGTATTAAGAATGCATTATTTGAATAATTTTGGAGAAAATAATTTACAGAATATTCTGCAAGGGTATATCAACTCGGCTCCGCCCGAAGTTAGCTTTCCTTTCTCTTTTTTAATTTTTTTGTTGTTCTTTGGGACTGAGTAATATTTAAATATTAGGGAATTACGGTTTTAATTAAATTAAAATCGGATAACAATATCATATAGCTGCACTGAAACGATGGCCAAATGCAGCGCAAAATTGAAATAGATTAATTGTTTTTAGTAATATAGGCATATTAATCGAAATGTAATCGATTTGCAATTACTGTAAGGGTATATAAACTTCGGCTTGCAAAAGTTTGCTTCCTTTCCTGTTAGGGTTAATTTTAGAAAACATTTACGCAATAAAATAGAGAATATTTTATTTTTTGAACAGCGATAAAAACATTTACACAATAAAATTATTCTGTATTTTGAACAGCTTCAAGGGTGTAAATAGTACAAAAAATAGCGAAACCGCTGAGGGCTATATAGCTTAGTTTAATATCAGATAAAAACAATATCCACTCTATTCCTATTAGTCTTATACATACCAATATGCGGCTGCAATGCATTTTCGTGTTGTTAAATTAGAATTCCGGAATGGCCACCAAATGTAATATCGCCTCCTTTATTTACATCGGATTGATATGTATTTATTTACGTGGTTGTCTCTGTCATTTTAAAAAGAATTTTAATAATATATGCATAAGAAAGTAATACCTTTATAGATTAAAATGTTTAACAAAAATCATGCAAACGGAGAAAAAACCCCAATATAAACTATTTAAATATTTGTACACCCTTTTAAAAGAAATTTCGTTGGAGTTTTTGATCTTTCTATGGCACCTATATTTTTTCATGAAATTTAAGCAGTGCGTCTAAGTATAAGGTAATTAAGTAATAATTAGGTAATTAGTACATTTCTGATAGTTCCTATAGCAGCTTTTTAATGTAGTATTCCGTTTCAGCCCGCTCCGACTTATATACCACTTTCAAAAAAAAAACGACCTTAACAAAAGTTTGCATAAAAACGGATGGACAGTCCATTTTAAAGATTAATTGCTAAAATATTAACAAAATATTTTTAATTTCCTTACTACTTAACTATTTTCAAGATATATACAGTTGTATAGATTTTTTGTCACCTCTACAACATCAAATCGTTTATACATAATTAATACAAATCTTAGGCTACCTTTACGTTTGAAAATATTTTAATATTTTTCATTGGAATATGAAATTTACAGAAGAATACTTTTTTTTAAAGCTTTTTTAAAAGTTTGTATGTGATACGAAAGCAAAATTCGGAAAGTGAACTTTATGTACCCTTGCAGATATAACTATATATATACATAGATTTGTTTGCGTTAATTAAAAAAAACATTACAGGATTGTCGATTTTCCGTTAATTTTTTAATGGGAGAGCAACAAGATAAAGGCGTCTGAATATTTTTTTAAGTAAAGCCCCATTTCTCGTGAAAAAAAATATGTTTTAAAGTCTATGCGTATAGGTTCAAAAACAAAGCATTTAATTTTCTCTCTTTTCATATGGCAGCTTCGGACGGACAGACTTACGACATACATATATGTGCGTGTGTGTTTAAAAGCAAAGAAGTTTTGTTTATTTAATTAATTTTGCGAAATTAACCATGGCAGATTTGTTCTGCAATATAAATACCGAAAGACTTATTTTCGTAGAAACGATAGGACAGCATTACAGAATTACGGGGAAAAAAAGTGTGGCACGAACTAGAACGAATTAGCGGCCCTGTATAGTCTGGAATTATTCTGATGGACCTGTTATGAAATCAGCTTAAATTAGTTTGTTGTATGCAATATGGCAACAATAGTATTTAAGAAACCATAGTACGAAGAAACTTTGCTTCTAAAGGCATTTGATTTTTGGAGCACGTCGTGAGAATTCAAAGATTTTAAAGATCATTGAGATCATTTCTCTACCATCAAAATTTTGGGCGCCACAAGTGGCTTTCACATTCTTACATTTTATCAGATTTGAGTACTTTTTATACCCTTGCAGAGGGTATTATAATTTTGGTCTAAGGTGTGCAACGCAGTGAAGGAGACATCTCCGACCCTTAAAGTATATATATTCTTGATCAGGATCGCGTCCTGAGTTGATATAAGCATGTCCGTCTGTCTGTTTCTACGCGAACTAGTCTCTCAGTTTTAAAGATATCAAATTGAAACTTTGCACACACCCTTCGTTCCTTTGGACTATATCCTATAGCCGCCATATAACTGATTGATCGGAAAAGCCATAACTTTGGTGTTTGTTAAGTTAGGAAGTTTGGATTTTCTATGGTCCTTATTTTTGGCCAATACCTACCCAATTTCATAAGGATCGGCTATATCCTATAGCTGCCATATAACTGAACGATTGAAAATGTCATAACTTACAGAATATTCTGCAAGGGTATATCAACTTTGGCTTTCCTTTCTTGTTATTTTCTAATAATGTTATTTTTTAATTTTACTCTACACATTTCTCTACAAATTGGCTTCTATCTAATGCAGGAAACAACTAATTTAAGATTTGAACATATTTTTTAGCATTTATTTACATAGAATTGCATTGTAATTTTTTTAAACTTATTTATGTGCATTTTAAAGTGCAGGTGGGGTGCTCAGTAAATAATTTATTAATGGTGCAATTAGCTTGAAAAATGTGCAAATGCTCGTGTTTCCGCATAAGTTTTTCATTTACTTTTTCCGGCATTTTTTGTATTTTCCAATTATGCAATTACGCATTTTAGGAAAGATGCATAAATTAGTCCAGGAACAAAGAAAACGTATGTATTTTGGATGCCATGTTTTATAGAAACTCCACGAGTCATGAGAAGGTCTCATCCTGCTGAAAAATACTGTATTTTTAAAATAACTAAAATAGATACATATAAAATACTTTTGGCAGTTTGTTATTAATCTTTAATTATGGACTTTTTAAGACAATTTAAATAATAACAATTTTGTTTTACCTTTAAATCCAGTTCCTTTGCATGCCCCAGCCAACTAACAACACTTTAATGAATGTTAATGCGTGTAAGTGTATGATTTTGGGTGTTTACTTTAATATTTAAATTAAAGAACCTGAAATGATAATATTATACTATAGTTTTGTAAAGGGTCATCAATGTTTTAAAACTGCTAGAAAACTGTATAAGTATTTTATGAATGAATCACATATGCTTTCGTGTTTATATATACCGTTTTCTTTAGAAAAAAGAGAATTATGTCATGCGCAGAAAAGAACTCGCGACATTTTTAAAGCTTTAGCAGGAACGAATACTTACAAAATATTATTTTTAATAATTTATTGTATAAACTCTATTAGTTGGTTATATTTACAGACTTTGTTTAAAACAAATTAAGCATACGCATTTATGTTTTTCATTTAATTTAGTTAAATTAAACAGACCATATAAACAAATTAGTTTAATACCCAAATAGGTTTTTCGGATGTTCAAGAAAGCTGGAAAGCAATTAGTAAAATGTTGTACAAATAACTGAAATCACTGTTGGGAGCAACAAGCGCGATTTAAGTAAAATAAATGGTATATTCACATATATTTAATATGATGTTTCCAACACTCGGCGTAAATTGAACTAAATGAAGCTTAACTTGTTTGCAGCTTGCAATCTAACTTTACGCTTGCGTGTGTGAAGTTGCGACAAAAGTTAGCTCTCTTTTGGGTTAAGCCCGTTTTAGCTACAAAGTTGAGAATTCTGAACTAAAAGCTTAAAGCTTACATACCTTGAGAAATAATTAAAAGAGTCGTCTCAAAAGCTATTTTTCCTGGGGTAGGATTAAATGTGAAAGTGTGTGCTTATAACACATTTTCCTCTGAATGATATGTAATGAACAAATTTAATGGTTCAGGTCTGAAATAATTAAAAAATAGTATAGTTAAAGATTATTTAATACATATTTTGGGACACTCACGGTCCCAGAGGCTATCTCACTTACGTCAAGCTTTACAGTCAAATTTCAATAGTTTTGCTTTTCTAACAAACAGTACTTCTTAACACTTTCAAACTTATATAAGTTTACACTGACAAACAGTGTTGAACAATTTCGATTTAATTTTAACAAACGGATTTCAAATGAACTGGTTTTTCAAATTGAACCGTTGGCGCGCGACCCAGCAATCCTTGTCACTTTCGCAACAACATATATAAGACCAAGAGTAGTAACAAATATTAATTTTATTCACAAAACTGCTTAACTTCTTTTTTATATTTTAACTTAAAAATCAAAAAATAACTGTAACTTCAAGAATTGTATTTTATTCGTTTCACAGAAAATAACTGTATTAGGAACATTTAAATAAACGTAAACTAATTATAAAAAGTTCTTAGATGAATTTAATTTATAAACTTTAAAATAAACGTCTTTGTAAGTTTTAAATTTCCTTTTGTAATTTATAAATTCAGAATGAAATAAAATAAAAAAAAATGTTTAGTAATGGCAAAATAATATACATATATTTATTTGCACTATTAAATAAACAAGATAAAAAAGTGGGACAAAACTTCTTAAGAATTAGCTGAACAAGTCCTATCAAAGTTGGGTTAACTATTCAGTTAGTGCAAGTGTTGATAAAAGCTAATACGTTGTGTTCTAGAAGTACTTGTGGGTTGTTACATAGCATGCAACTGATAAGTTGTCTGTTGTGTCTTTAATCATTCCAGTGTGACCAAAATTTCGAGAGTTTATCAGATTTAAGCGTGCTACGGTCGTACTGTCAATCAGCTGGGTTTGTTGACAAGCAGTTAAAATTCAAATATCGTATTTGCGGAAAAGAGCCTTTAAAAGATATTATCAAATACCTTGGCAAGACAAGTCTGCCGCTGTACAAAGAAATTAAAAAACAATACAATTGAAATTAAACAGATGTTTTTTAATTTACTGATAATTATTTGCTAATTTAATTTGATAGCTGCAATTTTATTAATGTTTTATCGTACATTCTTGACCTAAAACCCCAGATAGTATTAATGTTATTTTGTCCTCACATGTAAACACCTGCAATCGACTTTTGTGAGTTTTTTGAGTTTTTCCCTCCATTTCTTATAATGTTCAGTGAGAAGCGCACGCCAAAAGATTAAATTTTTTAATCTTTTCGCTAGGGTTCACCCAAAGTTCATTTCCGCAGACTGGCAACGCTATGGAATTTTCTGGTATTTTTTCGTCGATCAAGGGACCGACGTGAAAAAAAGGCCCGACGAAAAGTGAACGCCAGCTGTTTGCCTCTCGCTCTCTCTCCATTTCTTATAATGTTCAGTGAGAAGCGCACGCCAAAAGATTAAATTTTTTATTCTTTTCGCTAGGGTTCACCCAAAGTTCATTTCAGCAGACTGGCAAAGCTATGCAATTTTCTGGTATTTTTTTCGTCGATCTGAGGACCGAGGTGAAAAAAAACGTTGACGAAAAGTTAACGCCAGCTGTTTGCCTCTCGCTCTCTCCCATGACTGGCGTACAGTTTTCGTCGATCTGAGTACTAGGCTTTAGCAGGAATTATGGTGGGAGAAACTGTCTGCGTTGCAATCGGCCCTTAAGGCACGTTAGCCAATTTATATAAATGAACTAGCTGTACCCGGCGCGACTTCGTTTGCTTAAAATTAGTTTTGAGTACGGTTGTCTAGACTTTCCCATTTCCACACCACCTTTGAGGTAGAAAAAATGGCGCGTTTTTTTTCCACTGAAACTTTCTAGGTTTAATAATGTTAATTAATATGATTACTTGAAAACCTCTGTGTAAACAACATTTTTAGAAGATCCTTCAGGAGCGAGAATAATAAGGCTACTGGCAGAGCTAACTCTTGAGCATGCGACATAAAATTGTCCATGAGAGAAGCAATCTTCTCTAAGATCTAGTCCAGCCAGCTTCAAAGTTAGTTATTGCAAAGCAAACTTTTAGAGGGAATTGTAGCCTTTTAAACTGAAACGGCAGACTGGATGGTATTAATGGGATCCTGGGTATAAACACTGTTTCCCCCTTCGCGCACCCCGTAAATACTGTTGCTTCGATTACATTCTTATGAAGACCTTTTATCTGCAATCGTGTCCCATTGCATAACTTTGGGGGACTTAAATTTCGAAATAATATTACGGGTGCTCCAATCCTAAGAGACAGATTATGCTGAGGAATTCCTGGAGGATTCAAAGAATTTTAAAATTCAACAGGGTAATGAACAGCATTATCAGCATCAGGAACAGAGTCGACCGATTTAAAGGAGACTTCTAAACCATCAAATGAGTTTAGCAATAAATTATTAATAGTGGTTGCTCTTTCATTTTTCGTTGTCAAGGAAGTATTTTGGATGTAAGGTATTGAACGTTTTTGACTACATTTCCTAAGCGTGATGTTATAACTATTTTTCCATCAACTGTTGGATGGACGCCATTCCCAATTTTTAAAAGAGTTTCGGCAAAAATTCCTGCAGAACTGTCTCCTTTTAAGTGCACTTGCATATTTTTCGTGAGCGCTAGTTTTTTTATCTGTGGCCATAAAAATTAAGATTTTAAAAAGGCCTTTATTTCGTCAGGTCTTGTAGCTCTTGGCACAACAGGAAGGGTTTGGCGAAGGTCTCCAGCTAGCAGGACTGTAATACCACCCATCAACATAGTATTCTCATTAATATCTTGCAGGGTTCTATTTATGGCTTCAAGCCCACCTTTATGTGACATTGTGCACTTATCCCAAACAATTAACTTACAATCTTTAAACACCGCAGCCATATTACATTGCTTTGAAATAGAGCAATGAGGTGTTTCTAAATTAACTAAATCCAAAGGAAGTTTAAATGTAGAATGAGCAGTTCGACCTCCATTGAGCAGGGTAGCAGCTATACCGGAAGATGCTACAGCTAGGGCTATTTTTTTTGAACTTCGAACTTTTGCCAACAATAAGTTTGTCAAGAAGGTTTTACCTGTCTCTCCAGGTGCATCCAAAAAAAAAATTTCACCCATCTCAGCCCCAACGCTTTGTAAAATTGTATTGTATACGACTTTTTGCTCGTTCGCTTAATATTAGTTTGGAGGTAGGAAATTGGGTTGTCAGGACTTTCTTATTTCTTATTTGCGCGTTTTTTGAAAACCTTTGTGTAAACAACCTTTGTAGAAGATCCTTCAAGAGAGAGAATCAGAAGGATACTGGCAGAGCTATGTTATCAATGCAATTTTAATTTGCGCACAAATATGTATACTTGTTTGTAAATTGGAATTTGTTGTTTTCAAATTTCTTGTTTTGAATGAAACGAAAACCTTTGTACACACAGTAAAAGATTGGCATCCAATACAAAAACAGCAAAGTAACGTATTATTTTCAGACTCCACATTTGATCGATAAACGGGTATAATAAATCATTTTATTTGTATTTAAGCACATTATCTACTTTCGAATAGAAACATACACACACATTGTATGTATGTACATGTATTGTACATATAAGCAAATCAAAACATATCCAAATATACATATGTACATACGTATTTGGTCAAAAGTTCGAATCTTAAGATTAATATTTAACTTGGAAACATTTTGGCTTTGCTTACAGAATTTGTAGTAATTTTCTATTTTCTTCCATGGTGGAAATTAAATAAGGCTCTTACTTCTGCTACAAAATGAAAAATAAAACCTAAGCATTTGATCCAGAGGACTGACTATTGATCGAAAATCATCCAAAACAAATTTAACTTAAATTGCCTCTTTCCCCTCCCCTTTCCCTGCAGCACTACCCCTCCCCCTCATCAGTTTTCTTGGTTGTTGCTCTGTCGGCCGTCGCTCTCTTGGCATCCGCTCTCTGGGTTTCGCTCTCTCGACAGGCTCCCGCAAAATGCAACGCAATAACTTAGAAAATCTAAATAAATTCGTTAAAAATACTTAAAAAAATGTTAAAAACTTGAAAAATTAAACTTAAGCATTTGGGCCATAGAATAACTATTGAGCGAAAAATCATCTTGATCGGAGCAGCGGTTTAGATTTTTTAAATCGAAAAGTTAATTTTAAATGTAGCCCCCAAATTATGGGGGATATCAAAATTTCTTTTAGATTTCTAATTAGGCCTTTTCAAAACCTAAAATTCGGAAAAAACCAAATATCGAAATTCCAACCAGTTTAGAAGTTAAGCTTAAATACATCAACTTTTTTTGCTCAGAATAATGGATGTTGGAGCTGTTTGGGGCCACTGGGGGGACATATCGGATCTTAGTGGGCGCCCACGCCCCCAATGGAATACTGTGAAAAAATTTGGTTGCTCTTGCTCTTACGGTTTGGGCTGTGGCCGTATCCCCTTAAAAATCGGTCTTTCATTTTATAATCTTTAGGGATTGCCTCTTTCCCTTTCCCTTTCCATGCAGCACTACCCCACCCCCTCATCAGTTTTCTTGGCTGTTGCTCTCTCGGCCGTCGCTCTCTTGGCTTCTGGGTTTCGTTCTCTCGACAGGCTCCCGCAAAATACAACGCAATGACTTAGAAAATCTAAATAAATTCGTTAAAAATACTTAAAAAAATGTTAAAAACTTGAAAAATTAAACTTAAGCATTTGGGCCATAGAATAACTATTGAGCGAAAAATCATCTTGATCGGAGCAGCGGTTTAGATTTTTTAAATCGAAAAGT